GCACCTCAATAGTGCCCTAAAATAAATGTTCATTCCCTTTTACAGTTTAATAAACATATCTCCATATTCTTTAGCAATCGGTTCTTGGGCTTTTCTTTAAAAGCTGATCATTTAAAATATGTTAGGATCTTTAAGAATACTTAGCTCTAATAAGATTATTAATTAAAAAAAAAACGAGTTGAAACTTTTAACTATCCTTCATGTTGAAATTTAAAATTTTAATAATTACTAGGGTATTGGCATTTACAAAATATTATTTTACGAAAAGGAGCAAATAAAGAAGTGTTTTAAATTCTTAATGGCTTTTGCAAGCTTTGATATTATAGAAAATAATTTAAAGTTAATTTTCCTACTAATAGTTATGATTTAGAAATGAAAAAACCTTAACGAAAATGTCAGAAATTATTTACATAGCTTTATTGGCTTCCTTCAAATATTCTTCAAAAATGATGTTCTTTACACTTACTTTCCTACTCGTTCCGTGTTATGATCACAGATAACAGAAGTGTCCTTTCGACGGCATTCGATTTCCTTGACCTCTCCTTGCATCCACTTAAAAAACCGAAAAGGAAATCAAATCGAACATCCGCAAATTGCTTCCCATGGCAGGGAGTTGGTAATCTCTCGATTATGCCATTGCCAAATCCAGCAACTTTAATGACAAACCCAATTTACCAGCGACAGGACAATAAATCACTGGCAAAATGACGCTGTCAAAGACCGACTGACAAGGAGGAAAAGAGAGCAGAAAAAACAGTGAACCAGCAAACAGGACGATAAAAACAATGCCACAAAACAATTTCGCAAGGAGTTGTCAGCTGGGAGGTGGGATGCAGGATGTGAATGTGCGATCTGGGTGGGAATGTGGATGTGGAGCTCATCCGCATGCTGACCAACATGTCGGTGGCGTCAACGTAATTCGAGCTCTCCCCCATCGAAGGACCCCAAGGATAACGCCCCCACACACTTTGATAAAGGTGTGGAAACGTGCGATTTTGTAATTGATACTAAAAAGCCCTTAATTGGCACCTTAACGCTGCTGATGCTCTGACAAATTTCCCCCAAGGACCACTGACGAGGGCAGTTCCTGGCGTTGACATGCGTGGGTTGCCCAAGGACACAACTCTGATATGCGGGGGGTTGGATTCGAAATCGGAATCGGAATCGGGGATTGGGCGGACGTGAACGTGGACGAGGACGTAGACGTAGACGTGGGCCGTAGGTAATCGGATGCCTTTTAGGAAACGGAGATGCCGCAATCAAAGGCGTCGAAAATCGGTGCCACATTATGCCGCATAATCATCGTGGGCATCATCAATGTCATGTGGCCATGTGGAGTATCCAATCCCGGCGAAGCCCAAACAAATGGCACTAATCCATAATTGTCTGGCCGCCGGTCAAGTGGGACTTGAGCCAATAAATCTCATCAAACTAATTCGATACGTTGGTTGGACGGCAGGACTCGGTCGCAAGTCCTCGGCCAAGTGGAAAACTGCAGCAGGAGCGGCCACCCTTGTGGCTTGCGCTACTTGTTTGCCAGCCTGTTGTCATTTGTTAACATTTCATTACATTTATTTCACCGGACACAATTGCAAAGTGGATGAATGGATTTGCCGTTTGATGTCGCCTCGAGGATGAGGATGAGGACTCATCCTCGTTTTCGTTTTCGTTCTCGTCCTCGCTGTCCACATCCTGATCAACTGGCGAATTTATCTGCTTGTGCGAGTACTTATTTGCTCTCAAACCAATTTGTTTTATAATTGAATTTGAAATTGAAGATGACATTCGGTTTCCGATTGTTTGGCGTGCGGTGCAATAGCCACAGGCCACGCCCCCTTCCCCCAAAAGCCGCCCCTCGCTGACCTGACCTCAGCTGTCTATGTGTTTAGGTTTTTGGGTAATTGTATGCAGAGATTCTCGGCCTGTGTATGTATGTGTGTGTGTGCTTGACCAGAAATTCAATTATGTATAAAATTTCACAACCATTTTGGGATGACTTTCCGAAAAACTCAATTTTCTATTTAATTTGCTTTCAAGTGTCATGGCGGTTGCTGGTTTGGCCGTAGGTCATAGGCCGAAGTGCCAAATAGTGGCAGCACACACCGACATATGCGTGCACTTTGACCTCGAGTGATTCGCAACTGCAAATATTGTTTGGCACGCCGAGCGGTTTTGGATTTTATTCATGCATCATTTGATTTTGCGGCTATTTCGATTGATTTATTCGCATTACCATTCGGACTGCTCTATAAATTTTGTATATTTATTTCGGTGTGAAAGTGGCCTGCATTTATTTTAATCGGTTTAACAGCTCGGCGCGGGTCAAAGTGCAACAATATCAATTACGGCAGCAAAAGTGCGCTGATTTCATTCAGTTTTGTGGTTAACCATTTCAAGAAAGGTGTTGCTCACCGTTAAAAATATAATTACCACATATTGTATTGGTGATTGATCAGCAATAACATCTGGAATCGGTGTCAATTATGGCGTTTATAGGTATCTGAATTTTACCATATAATGCATATATTTTTATCTAATTAGTAAATAACAGTGTGCTTTATTATGAAAATAACTATTTCTTTTCACTTTGAAAAAAACTTTGAACATTTTAGAAGAATGAGAAAATATACAAAATGAATTGAATCGATTAATAGAAATATACTTAAAGCATAGCATTTGGCAAAAATGTTAAATTAGCACGTACCCAATAAAACTTTTTTTCCTGAAATGATTTTTACAGTTATATGATATTATACTCCGATTTTTATATTATAATTATTATACATAATTCGAAGTTTAACAGTCTTTAAAAAACATTATATTCTTTTGTCTGATAAAAACAACTATGGTATTATTTTTATAGTCTTGTAGAGGGTGTTTTATTTTCGGTTAGAAGTCTGAAACGCAGTTGACTGCAAAGGTAAATAAGCTTCGGCTCGCTGAAGCTAGCTTCCTTTTTCCGTTAATTTTCGTTAATTCCATATAGATTTTTTTATCTTTCCTATGGTTGCTATATCATATAGTTGTCGGATTTTTATGAAATTTTGTTCTCGATTCCAAGGGTATTTAAAAAATTTTCTGTTCTAAAAAACAACGATGTTATCATTTTTGTACGATTATTTATATATATGTATATTTCTCGATCTTTCCTATGGCACCTAGATGATATTCATAGTTATCCAATTCTAAAAAAATTTAATTAGAAATTCGATATAAGTTTAAAAATACCATCTGGAAGAAATCAATTCTGGGTTTATGGCTTCAAAGGTGTCTTCTTCGCTGACTGAAATTATAATACCCTCGGCAAGGGTATAAAAACAGTTAGGTTAATTTTAAATCAATCAGCCACAAAAATAATCGCTTAAACCTTAACAAAATAAACTGTTTTTTTAAGCTACACATCCGAACATATCATCGAAATCTTCATGATTTATTTTATTTGCAATAACTTCCAAATGAATTCGCACAATACACGTTGTTATCTAAGCATTGGGCTCAATCCGAAATTAAAGGCCCATCAAGTGCATCAGGGCTCAAGTCATCTGCCGGACCCCGGATTCGGGGTCCCCATTCCTCGCCAGACACCAAATTAGCATACATACCATAAAGCAAATTTGATTTCTATCACGGACCACCCAAAGCCGACCCACAGAATGGAGGCGAGGCACTCAGCTGTGCGCCGAGCACTTAACCCGCTTTTAGCAATAAAATTAACTTTCCGTAGAGATTCGGGATGCGGGGAGTTGCCGGCAGCACGTACAAGTCGAACGTATAGGAAATTAATGGTTTAAGGCAAAAGTGTTTAACGAAATTGGCCGGGGGATGAGGTGGGGTGGAACAGAATGGGACAGGATGGAATTTATAAGGCGACACACATGCACAGCAAATACCATGTAGCCTACTACTCCGTATGGCAGTAAATCCTCCGACTATCTCCGCATTTCACTTTATTGGCGCATAAAAACCGAACCGAACCAGACCAAACCAAAACGAATACGGAGGAGGAAAACTAGCAAGGGAAAGGCAACCCAGATCCGTCTCCGTCCTTCGGCAGTCGTCCACCCATCCGCCCATCCGTCTATCCGTCCATCCAACCATCCGACTATCCGACCATGGAAGCCGGACGGGTCTGGTGTCGCTGGTTCAATTTGAAAGGGAAGCTGTGCTTAAGAAGGCGTGTAATTGAAACATTCAAAAGACAATTTCCAAGTCTTAGCACAGACACACTTAATGGACGCAAAAGACATGGACAAAGTTAAGAAGTGAAATGCGAAAGAAAAATGCCAGGCAGCTCGGGAGGCAGTGCATCCTTGACTCGGGCGGGGTGGGTGTGGGTCAATCAGGCGTGACTGGGGGTCAAATGGATTGGCATGAAATATTCCGATGTACTTCCCACCCAGATGACACCCATCCACCCGTCCACTTTCACACTCGCCCCTTCTACTTTTTCCGGTTCGGCTTTCGATTCCCGTAGGTAGACAATGCGTACGTTAATTAAACAAACAGCCAATAAGATTGATGGCACTTTGATTGAAAAACAATTGATGCAACTGTGCGTACACATTAGCATGATATTGGACGAGGCGTCCTGGTCATCAGAGAAGCAGAAGCATCCGCATCCTCGTCCTCGTCCTCGTCCTCGGCCTCATCCTCATCAGCGTGTGGCTCTTATCAGCTGGCGGGCCAAAAGTTGCCGAGGAGTTGGTCCAAAGTTCGCATAAATAAAGTCCAATATCAATAGAGAGCCTTGTGTATGTGTAAGCTGATTGACAGCATTACAGGGTCCGTTTCTGCGGTGTTTTAATGGATTTTTGATTTCCACTTGGCACGGAGTTTTTAGGGGTTGCAGCCGGTTGGTTGCCATTCCCGCTTCCTTGTTTATCGCTTATGTAAACAAGCCACATCTATCTAACAACAGGACGCCACTTGACACTGACGTTTTCGATAGGACGCTAATTCAGGAATGATTCCCCCTAGCCATAGTTTCCATTGGTTTGTAGTTAAGCATTTAAACACATTTATATATTTCATATATTCGGTGGCGCATACATAGTTATAATTGAATTACGTTTACATAAAACATTTCTCTATTTACAAACGCACTACAGAAAGTAACATCAAACGAATCCGCAAGCTAAAAAGTGTGGGTTTTGTAACTCGTCGAATATTCGTTGACTTTCCTGAAATCCACTCACTTCTCATACATATTTCGTTAGCCAAATATGCCTAGTTTACTATTTGGTTAAGTTTCTAGCCAAAAAAATGGGTTCGTTTCGTTTTTGGTGTGGCGTGTAAAAAATTGGCGAACGCCAAGTCTTTTGTTTGTCTTGTCTTCTTGTGGTGTTGTTGAGTTTTTAGTTCACCAGCCTGATGTATGTACGTATAAATGTTTCATAAGACGAGTGCACAAATTTTCCCTACTAATTTCTAAACTTATCTGACGAAGCCGAATGACAAAAGCAATGCAAGCATATCGGCACAGGACAACAAGTTTGGACTTAACAAAAGGTGCAAAGAATGTATTTGTATACCTACAAATAGGTTTATCTAAACACAATGGCTCACATTTAAGGGATTTATTCTTGGAGAAAATTAAAAGTGGTTTAAACATAAGAAGTTGCGAGTTCTTGTATTTTAATGAAATTTAATACCTTCGATAAAGCAAGTTTTTTATTAAATTTACGTAACGTATGTTTTAAATCAGAGGTTTTTATAATTTGTATTTTATTACGGTAAATGAAGAATAAAATTTAATTGTGCCTGATTAATCATGGTAAAATTTTAATCTGCTTTCAAAATTGTCGATTTCAACATTTTTATTGTTTTTACCTTCGAGCCAAAACACTATTGTCCAGTGCAATAACACAAAACTTGTTATTGGTAAGCTTAACGAATAAGTACACTACACATACACAAATCAAATAACTCACTACAGCTTGGTGCTATAATAATCACAAATACGGCGTATATCATCTACATTATAAGAGCCATCAAAACGTTGATTTGATATACATTGCTTCGCTAATACGATGTCGATGGAAGTGCCTCGAACAACAGGTAGAACAATACTCATTTTGTGACGTTCTATATTGAAAATAAATATATCACTTGCACTACTTAATTTCAGAGTGTGGAGCTTTTGGTATTGCTTGCTTATTAACCCGCTTTAAAGGGCTATTAACTTGGTTTTGCACTTTTCTGCTTCCCACAGTTCCAACAAATGATCTCGGGAACTGGGACCGCGCTCTGGCGGAGAATTCTCGGCAGAAAGACTGGTGGGCGAGAGGACCCCGGTCTGAAAAATAAAGTTATTGTTTAGTAACAAGCTCGAGCAGATATCAATTATGTATTTACCTTGGTTGCTATCTTGCGGGGATCGAGGTTAAGACCAATATTCTTGGCCAGCTTTGACAGTGGACTGGTGAGCTGCTTCAGTTTGTTGGCCTCCGGCTGAGTGGGCAAGCCCAAAGGAAGGCTGAGATCTCTGGCCGAAGTACTGAAATCGCGTCAGGCAAATCGTAACAGTACAAACACATCATGAGTTCAATTAAATATTTTTATTTTGAGCGATTTTTGGCCAGAAACAGCCCGAGTGTATGTGGTATGGAGCAGGCACAGATATTTCTATTTTTGTACAGTAATACATGCTAATCTTAGGTATTATTTAGATAGAACACATTGAACGCATAGAGGAATTATAATACTTTGAGCTTGAAGGGATAAAAACTGACAAAAATTACAAAAAACACATATACAATCTCGACTACAAATATATTGGCTAATTAATAATATAATACGAAACAGAAAGCTCTAACCCAAAACAGCTCTACAACCAAAGATCAATTGTAGAATACAGACCTGGACAGGGGCTTCACCCCTTCCTCCCCGTCGTCAAAGGCTTCCTGAGCTTGCACGCAGATTAGTGGATTGGGCGTGATCGGTCGGATGGGAGGAGCGTTCTCCAGGAGGCCAGTGGGCAGACCAACGTGATCCGTCACGGAGGTAATGGAAATGGTGAGCACATCCTCGGCGGTCTTGCACATGCTATCCTTCTGTTCCAATTGACGAATTTCGTCGGAGGAGCTGGGCGAGTCCTCCTTCTGGTTGCCCATGACAATGCCCACCGATGGCAGGAAGGCGTTCTCGTTGTAGTTGGACTTGTCCATGGCTATCTCCACGTCGGAATCCACCTCGGGCTCATACAAGCTGTTGTCGTGCTCATCAGTATCTGTGCTGCTGGCGCTGTTCGAGTTTCTCTGCTTGCGACCCACAGTAAAGACAGCCTTCTCCGCCTCCTGGCCAGATTCTACTTCGTTGCCTCCCGTCTGGCGCATCACTTGCGGATTGATGGTGGCTGCCAAGTTGCTGGGGTGAGCTGGCTGTTGGCTGGCACCCGATGGCTTCTTAAAGGTCTGGCCCAGTTTGGAGAACTGTCCCGCCACATTAGAAAGAGCCTTTGAGCTGAATTGCACCAGCTGAGATTCGGAAAGGTTACGCGGCATGCCCCTGGGAACATCGAGCATGGGCAACTTGCTCTTCCTGCGCTGCAGCACACCTCCCGTGATATAGCGAACGTCTGTATTCCCGGCGTTGTCAAGGGCGATCCGGAACATCTCGACTATCGAGGTCAGAGATTCCGTTAGCTCCTCCTGCGTCTTGATCACGTAGGCCATGTTGTTGAAGAATCTCAGATTGGCCGAGCGGAACATGTGGAAGTAGCCCTCCTGCCCGTCCACGCTGTAGTTGAGACGCAGACACAGATGTGCCGGAGCGGATCCCTGGAAGATTTTCGCCTGTTGATGCATCCCCAACTCGATAAGCCGCACCTGCGTCAGTTGCACCTTTTCAAAGCGCACAATCTTGTCCAGGTGCGAGTCGTATTCGGCCACAATGTAGCAGTCGTCGGTTAGCAACAGTATGGAGTCCACCTCAGTTTCGTTGGCATCGCCGGAGCTGCGAAAATACGGTTAAGAATCTCTGTCAATATCAACGATAAGCTATATAATGAGCCAACTAACCTTGGGTCAGCATCTATAAGTCCCCAAGCTCCAACGGGATACTGAGCCGATCCCAACAACAGACGACGACAATCTTCCACAAGCAACTTGGCGTGCTCTGCATTTTCCGTTCCATCGCTTTCATCCGGACCCGCTTGACCACCCAAAGCGCTGAGCGATTCTGAGGAGACCTGATTTCCCAGCATTAGATCAATGGTTGCCTGGCGATAGGAGTCCTTAAAGCGCGCCAAGTAGTAACTGAAAGTTAATTAAACTCATTAACTAAGAACCAAGGACTCCCCGATAAACGAAAAAGCAGATGTGAGAATGATAATAACGAAGAAGGCTAAGAAATGGGAGTAGTACCTTTTGCGAAATAAGAATCAAAGGATATATAACAATTGAGGCAACTAAAAACTGTAACTGTCGGGGCTCGTTTGCCTGGCCATCTACTCCATCATGGGATCGCCTCTGAACTGCGCACCTGGTCATAACGATGGATTCGAGAAGCTGCAGCTCGGGTCCCAGCACACCGGGATTATAATAGCCCCGGAGCGGGGGCCGGGTCTCTGGAGTGAGGATCTGGAGAATGGTGTCCAGGACCTCGTCCTCCTGCAGTTCTTCTGCCCGCAGCAACTGCCCCTGCATCAGATCGATGATGCACTGGCGAAACGAGTCGGCAAAGTTTTGTATGAAAAAGCTACGGAGAAGTTGGGCACGGCATTAGCTACGGGTCTGTGCATCGGTTAAAGATTGTGGTGTTAGAGATAAACCCCGTGGTTAAATTTTGGGTATTAAGTTTAAGAAGGGGAACATAAACTTGTTCTCCTTGAGTTTAATTATGTGGAAACAGGCATGCAGCATTAGTAGAATATCGAAAAACGATTTAGAAAAGGATAATGGCATGGCTACGATTTTGGGCTTTTAGTAATGATTGATTGAACTCCCAATCACCCTAAATATGCAGATGATTTGCGGTGGGCCACGACTACATTGTAATTTGTATAAAAGCCAAAGCTTAATTACAGATTAAGTGGAGAATGATTGCGATAAGTAAATCAATCAAGATAATGAATATGAAACAGTCACGGGTAGCAAAAATACAAGAAAAAACGTTGGTAGGTGTATTATACGAACCGATTGGCCGAGTTCATGCCGTCTTTCATCATGCCGCTGATTTTGCGTTCGCCGGTGCGAGTGTAGTCTCCCTGTTGTGGAACAATCTCATAAACAAATTCATTTTTACACTGATTTTCCACTTACCTTCAAGGCATTGGTACCCGCATACTGTCGACTGATTATGTCCCCGTTGTTTGCCCAGAGCACCATAAATGGAGACTTCAGTTGCTCTGGAATGGGAGTATAGGGAGGCGAGAGGCCTAATTTAACTAGCTGAGATTCAAGCACCGCCTTTCCAATGGCCGTTTGCACCACGTTTGTTCGATCCAGACAATCCATGCAGTTCACGCGGAACACGGACTTCTGGTTACATATCATTCCCCGTTGATCACGCCAGTGGAAACCCATCGCGCCTGCCTCGGGACCCACTGCATCGATCAGGGCGGAAACATTCTCGAAGCGCATGCCTCGGCTAATATAACAGGAAATGATTATCTTTTAGTGGTTGATCGCATAGGAAAGACGAATAAAACTTACCAGTAATCGTGAAAATCGAAAGTTACATATATCATTAGCTCGTTGTTGTACTTGATCACGTGATCGGCGTAGGCATCTCCAATGGTCTTCTCCTTTCCGCTTTGCTCCACCAGATTGACGATGCAAACGCGACCGTAGATTTCCAATTCCTTGGTGAAGTGCAGCTCAAAGGCCTGCTGAGTTTCGGCCACTCCACGATCAAGGCGTGGTGGTGGGCGGTACTTGTAACCGGGCTGGCTCCAATAGATCGGAACGGAACCACGAACTTGGGTGAATGACAGCTGGTGGTGGCGGAATGAGAGTATTTGCTCTGTCTCCACGTAATTTGCGCAGTTTCCCTTCTCATCCACTCCTCGTCGCTTGTAGCTGTTGATATAGTGAGTAAATTATATTAAATTGATACTAATAGTTGAGTTGAAGTGAATTACCGTGTTCCCGCACGATGACGAGATCTCCGCGATACCAACGCCAAAGTAAAGCATTCATTGCCTATAACACAGTTTTCAACTTGCATAAATCCCTGAATAATGGGCAGTATCCATGTTTTATCCTGTGAGTAAAGAGTAGAATACTTAAGTATAACATTTGGTTGGTTTACTAGTTACTTACATTCAAGCTGAGCAAATCTCGAATCATGTGCATGTTCCAGAAGAACCGCTCATCCGGCTGAGGCTGTTTCTCCTCCAATGCAGCCTCATGACGCTGTAGATTGTTGGTTATATCGCAGTCGAAGCTGAAATAGAAGCTATCGGTGTCGTCGAATATCTTGTGCAGCTCCTCGGTGATGCGCCGTTCGATGTGTTTCGGTTCCCGGATGCCCACTGATGACTTCACCTGCTTGGTGGCCAAATTCGCAGCTTGCTGGGTGGTATTTTTGATGGTGTTTCCAGCACTCTTTACCGCTCCCCAGGTTTTGTTCATTCCCTCGAACAACTTGGTGCTCTTTGAAGAGCCACTTCCACTCGAGGGAACGCTTGCATTGTTGTTGTTTGAGGTGGAGACGCTGTGAGTGGGCGTGGATTGGTTGCTTCTAATTTGGAAAACATAAAAAAAGAATTATTAGGCAATAAACACAGGTAATTGGTATGACTCACTTGGTGTGCTTAGTGCAATTTGGAAGTTCGGTGTCCGGCTCCTCGGCACTAAGTATGCATATCGACTTGATCTTGTACACCAAGTGTGGGGGATATAGCACACCCACTGCCGTTGCCTCCTTGACCACTACCAAGTGCGGTTCATAGACATTGGGCAACGAGATCACGCCCACAATGCCATGGGTTACTCCGATGCACTCGATGTCGTCCACAGAGCTAAGATCCCATCCTGTAAATAAGAAAATCAAACACTTTAGTAACTTTTTGCGACTTGCCAAAAATATCAAAACTTTTGAAATAAAATATTATTAAATCCTGATTTATTTACAGTAAAGCTAGTTATTCTGTATTTTTAATTAATAAAGAAATAAGTAAAAATTCCGGAGACTGTTATTTTTGTACCCCTTCCATCTTTGTTCTTTAAGCACAAAGTTCATGTTCGTTAGGCTTAATTGGTATTTGATAAGCATACGCCCCCCGAATAAAACAATCTTTTACAGCAAATAAGTGTCAAAGCTAGTTAAAATTACCAGAACGCTAATTGTTAATTGTGAAGGAAGGTCGAATATTGACCGCTGGCTAATGAAGGCTGCCTCTAAATGCCAAAGCCTGTAATTTCAGGATACATATTTGCATCTGGTGCGTTGCGTGTGGAAATGTTTACCCTTGGGTCTACAACTGCTCATTACTGTACACTGAATCCGGTCACCGCCCACTGCGCCCAGCACTTGCAGCTAAAAACAGCAATGTGCAATTGCACTTTACGTGCCACCTACGTGCATCCTTGGTAATCTTTTTTGATGTGGATAAAATGTCATTGGCATGATTTCAAAGTTGCCACTTTAAAGCAATGCTGTCATAAAGCAACTGCTAATCTTATCTAGAATTTTGGTTTATCTAGCTTTTTGAGCCAGACACCGGATGTTGTTGTTCTGATGACTACCGTAAAATCGATGAAAGTGTTGGTCCTCATAAATTATGCCAAGTTCCTTTTGGGTGTGAAACCGCTTTTCACCGTGCGGACAAAAAGCGTTTTCGCCAAACAAAGAAAATTGACGGGAGCAGCTGCGGTGACCTTGGCTGAGATTTATGGGCTGCGTGTGGGTCAGGGGTCACACTGCGGATGAGTCATGGGCAGAAGGAAAGTGACCATCCCCAAGGACTTGAAACTCGTAGGAGATACTGTCCTTGTCCATTAATGGCGACAGGTTGCGTGTCAGCAAATTGATCTATATGTAAGTGCTGCCCAATAAACAAGCAATTAACGGTTACAGACACATTGTTGGTTGTTTAATTTCTGTCGGTGTTATTAATAGAAACAGAAGGTAATTAATTGTATGGCTGGTCTATATTGACAATTAGGTATTAGAAAAAAGCCCTCTAATAATACATGAGGTTTCAAATGAGATTTAGAGAGTACAGTATACTGCTGTAATAGCGATAAACGAATGAAAATGTTCACCCAGTTAGATTTCCACAAGTTATAAACTCCTAGGTACGTTATTCAATGTTATTGGTTATTTTACTAGGGGTTAAGTTCAGAGTCTTATAAATTTCTTATGGCATACTAAGTGCGCAGTTAGAAACAAGCAAGTGACTTAAAAATTCAGTTAGATGGCGTTTGAGGAAAACCGCCTTCCGGGATTATTCTCATTTATCTTTTAAGGCTTGCGGCCTTGAAACACACACATGCACACAATTACGAAAACGGAACTTTTTCAGGAAGGGAAGTGGCAATTGCACACTTGAAGTGTCTGATACATCGTTTATCTGACTAAACATGATAAAGTTGTGGCCCTTAGATTGTTAAATAAACAATGCACAATACACACGAATACTCAGACAGTATGATTCATGTGACATTTACCTGCTTTCAGTGAAAATTCCGATGTTCTGCGGTTCCACCACAAGCTCTTGTCCCGCTTCACGAAGATATAGTGTGAGTCCGTCTGGAACACCTCCATTGTTTATTCTTTGACTACTTTTCTTGGGACATTATTAATAACGCCTTCCAATTTCGACAAATTAATGCGACATTGTTTACGAAATTGGTCAGTGATGACTAGGGATGTGCAAAATGTTAAGCTAGTATATCGATATTTAAAAAAATATCTGAGCATCGATATTTTTATTGTGAAATTTGTATTCGCTAGATTAGGAGGGTGTCTTAGCTTAGTAAGGAGTATGTATTAGCTATGTTATATGGTGAACTTGTAATTATGTTTCCAAAAAAATCCGGCAGGGTATTTTTGCTTTTGCGTGGCGACACCTACTCGGTTTGTTAAGCAATATTTAATCTAATTGCATCCGAGGTCCGTTTCCGATGGCGCCACGGCTGCCTGTTATAATCATTTTATTGATTTAACTTTATTAAATGTTTAGATAATAAAATAAATGTACTCAAAAATCGCAGCGCAAAAAAAAGCACTTTAGTTTTAAACTTTCTTTATAAAATAGTTAACCTTTAGTTAAATCAAAAGCATGTCGGTGTCATATTAAATTTTTTTCAAAATAATGAATTGCAAGTAAACACTTAAGTCACTTACAAGCCAATTATTATTATAAAAAGAGAATAGAAATTTAATGGTTGTCTCAGATATACATTTACAAGCTATTTTTTAAAACTTAAAAATTTGAAACTCGTTTTTTTAAGTTTTAAAAGTAAGCTGAAATCTTTACGGTAGCTTTGGAACGGATCTCGCATCTTGAATGCTTTGGGATAGGCAAGTCAGTGTCTATGGTAATAACGATGTTATCGTTTATTTACGAATTTGGATCATTATCATCAATCAACGTTTTTTCGACAGAGTCTGCGGCTTGGGGCGATTATGGCAGCCTATAAACGGGTTGAAGCCTCTATACTGACGAGGATGAAAAATCGATAGTAAAGTCCTTGAGGCTTTTTCAAGATGCGCTGCAAAAACCATATTTCATCTCTCTCATTCCATTTAATATTCGAGGGAAAAAAATGTTTTAATAAACTGAGACCATTAAAAGAGCGGAAATCAATTTTGGGGATATGCAGATCCGGATGCTCATCTTATAAGTGCCCAATCAAATTAGCCAGAGGAATGGGCCAGCGTTGCGCATTTATGACAAGTGTTGTGCGCCTTGATGTGAAAACAATGTAGGCACGTTTTTATGCGACTCTCCTTAGTCCTTTGAACTGTGTTTATTCCGACGGGGATGAACGGGCAGGCAGGACGATGAGGCTAGGACTGTTACGCTGACGCTGACGAACGGCGCTCAGCATCTCGCAGTTAATTACCGTAAGTGGCACGGCGATAGTTTCTAGTTGGCAGTCCCGCACCTGCCGCCCGGAACACGGCTGACTAGCACGGAATCGGACAGTTGCAACTGCCGGATCAGCCAAATCAAACGCCCTGCCATCCGGCTAGGCCGGCTCATCATTCACGCAATCCATTCATAAAAAAGATATATGACACAGTCACGCAGAAAACACGGAAGTGCTGTGCTTCAAATTGAATTGCAAACGAGCTAATCGATCCTCGGGGAGGGAGTGAGAGAGGCCAGGACACGCGTTCGAGGTCCTGCTGCCTGCTGCCTGCTGCTTGGGGAATATGAATTTATATCTTTTAATCTGCGACAGCAGCAATGACTGCTATTCTGCCCTGTTCTGTTTGGTTCTGTTCCGGGGACAGGGCAAAAATAAAAGTGAAATTAAGGACGCAGGACATATTTCAACAAAGCGGCAGTCAGATAGTCAGATCCTGCATCCCGGCTCTGTTTATTGTCAGTGTCAAGTGGGCCTTCGGGGTGCCAAGTGGTTGGGACAGGCGAAAGGTGGGAGGCGGATGGATTGGGGTGATACGCCCTGACTGACGTCCTTGTAATTGCATTAAAATGCAATTCCAATGGCCGGTCGACCGCCGATTCCGACTTTTCCCAGGCCACTGCCAATTGCGAGTGTTCAGTTGCCAGTCCTCGGTTGCCAGTGCTCTCACTCGCTGAGTGCCATCGAGTGTAGGTGTCATCGGCATCCTGCCAGTCCCTACCTCCCTGGACCTGCGTAAACTGTATTGATAGCTGCCTTCAACGCACTTCACACTTCCTTGCGGCTGGGATCCGATGGAGAGGTGTACCGAAGGACATTTCGAGGGACAGTTGTGCGCAGTCAGGGCACTTTATTGATTTGTTCCATCTTATTTATAGTACGGTTTCATATTTAGTACATTAACTTAATATTCTTTTATTATTATATAAATTCTTATTTCATGGATTCACTTGTTCTTAATAACCAATTAAAATCATGAAAAAAATAAGGGAGACAGGATTCGTGCCCTTAAAATTTTTTTAAATCATTTCATTTATTAGATTTTTGTCACAATAATGTCAAAGCTTTTCTTAATGTTGAGGACGATTCTTTCATCTTAATTTTTAAACGTAATTTTTAAATTACAATAGGAATACTGTAAAAACGTCATAGAAATCTGAGGACACCTCAAAGAACTTGTGCTCATTGAACATAATAAATTTGTTATTTTTCCAATAAATAATTATTAAGTTGTTTTCTATTTGATTTCCAAAGATTACCGGACAACTCCCTCTTTTCTATTTACAAATTTTCCCAGGGATTTCCTACTCAATAAATGTCCTTTTTATTAGAGTGGCATCTGCTGGCTGCGATCAAGTGTTATCGCCTGAGAAAGAATCCGCACTTGATGGCGTGGAACAGGAGCAACGACACATTCGCTCCCAACCCCCCTTCAGCCCGGTCAAACACTCAACGCCGATACAAGCGGATAACAATTATATAAAACAGCAGGCAAAACAACGGCGACACAGGATTTGTAACAGGATACGCGTGTAACCACGGAACGGAGCTGCGGCAATCGCAACATCGGCAGAGAACGACAAAACACCCTTTCAATTAAACATTCGAAAACAACATTTGGCAATTATACAATTGACACCAGCCGAGAGTGGTGGTGGTGGTGGATGGGATGCTCGGAACACGACATCATCAATTTGAAATGCCGGCGAACGCGTGACTCGGAGGCACGCGCGTCATTTGGTCCTGGGCCTTCCTGAGGCCGCAGGGATTTGGATAGACCGAAAAGGCAGCCGGCTCATAAACAACATCAACAACAAGGACAAGTTGTGCGCGTTTAACATTAGTCAACGACGTGAACCTGCCCCCCCTCCACCCTCCGCCCACAGCCCACAAAAACGCCCTTCGAGATGTCGTACGTTGCCTTTTTATGCGATTGTCGGCTGTTCCAGCTCTTTTATTGCCGCCCCATTCGTTTGTCGTTTACTTTTACGGGCGGACATTTGTTTGGCCAGAGAAATCAGTGGTTATTCCGAGTGCCGGGGCTCAGATATTTTAATATGCATTTGGGAGAAATTTGTCCGCTGCCGGGCCTTCAAATGAGGTTCTTTTTGTTTCAATTTGCCAGCGGACCTGGCCCACAAATGCGTGAAAATTTGAGGAGAGGCAGTCAGCCTGTTGAGGTGATTGCCCCAATCCTGTCCAGCTCTCTTTGAAATATTTATGTGGCAGCTACGAATTTTGACTGCTCCGGACAGGCAGAAGAAAAATTACGCAGAAATCAAAACTTCCCCCGAAGACCACTTACAGAAGGTCCGAATGCGAGTCCGAGTCCGACCAGGATGAATCCAAGAAAAAAGGTCAATTTCCGTTCTGTGGCAAATAAAAAATGCATATGCTCTCTCCGAGAAATGGACAACTGGGAACTGGGCCGAAAACAATGAGGCTATCTTAGCAAACTTGGACAGCAAATTAAGTGGAAGTCAAGTTATGGAAGTGTCGAGCTCCAGCAATTCGAATACCTGAGATGGTGACTTCCTAAAAGGACTTCGGAGACCCAGCCCTATTAAGTTTTTGAGCCAACTTGATTGGCTTTTCCCGACCATCTTCAACCTGCCAACCGAATGACATTCTCTGCGAACCAGTAATTAATGCTCGCCATTGATTTTCCACTCGCAATAAACGACAAGCAGGGCAATTTTCACGCCATAACTCTAATGGAATTCAACATAAATTTTCCAGACTTTTCAATATTTTATTAGCCCTTTCGGACGGAGCGTGGCCATAAAATTGAAATGTTTTCGGGCAGACTCGAGCTCTGGCAGCCCGTCAAAGTCTGTGGGGTTTTTTTATGGCGTTTCATTGGTCGGTTATAAATTTGTGTGTTCGCCAATAAATACCAAAATAATTCTATCAGAGCCGTTCGTACGTGGAAGGTCGAAGCATCCTGTTGACACTTGTGGGTTGGGCAGCCAAGTGTTGTAAAAAAAATCAAACAACCCCAAATCCAATTCGGAGTTCAATGCTGACCACCGAGTTGAGAGCTCGGTCCTGGCACTTTACACAATTTTTATCTGCTGCTGATGTGATTTTGCACTCAATTGAAAATAAACTCGATTAAATTTTCATGACAAATTGCATGGGAAAATCAGTTACACGACTTACCACTCCTCGAACGTGGACTGTTTATTGAAAACTTGAAGTGCGGATGATCTGTTATTGTCATTTGTTTTTGAAAAACAAGTAAGAAAAAGTGAGAAATGCAAATACGCATTGCATTTTATTTTTTACTTTTTTAAAAGATAAATAAAAAAAGGAAGTCCTAAAAATACATTATTATATGTATCCCTTATAAATATTTACAAGTTTCAAAGTTATTACAATTTATATACAATTAAAATTGGCTACGAATTAAAATTCTATTTTTAGAAATCGTTGACAAACTAAAAAAAGGAAAACAACGTAAATTTACCCCTCAAAATTGACTTACTGAAAGTTTTTTCTACAATATTTTTTCTAACTTTTTTTTTCAAAATTTCTTTATTGTTAAATTGTGTAAATTCTTTTCAACTTTTCCCCTTTTCCCGATGTCAAACCCCGCTAATGTGTCCTTTGATAAGGGTTGGGCTGCTCTTTGAAATGACAGTTAACAGAACTTACTTGTTTGTAAGATTTAGACCCAGAATAATTGCAGATTACTGTTTTATCTGGGGGATGGCCAGATGACATTTGACCCGAGACTTACAACCTTTTTTAGATCAGTTTTTACTCTGACTTAGAACCAGACCTGATGCTATCTAAATCGGCGCATGACTCCCCGAGAACAAAAACTAAAGCTAACAAATTGCGGACAACGGCTTGTGAACCGGACAAGCTAATGACAAGTTTAATCATTAGTTTTCAGCGCAAATGAGCGGGCAGCCATTAGAGAGCTGTTAGTTTTGGGTCCCCGCCAGGTCGTCCGATACCGTGCTATGTATATGTATACATAGGGTGGGGGTTCAGGGGTGGAGAGGGTGATTAGCGCACTCCATTTACTCCATTTTTAAACTCATTTAGTGCAGCGTTTTTAACGACCGCCAAGCGGAGGAAGGGAGACGGCTAATGACAGTTGGCCGCTTTTGTTTGCCCACCAGAACAATGGCCGCCCTGTTTCTTTTTTATAACCGCACTCATATTGCGGCAAACAAGCTCGTACGTTAGGTGAAATTGTTTTCTTTATGACGTTTTTACGACTGGCAGCTCGGACAGGGGTTCGCCATAATTAGAGAACCCCCGAGGCAACCATACTATATATGCATGCACATACCTGTGTGCAGCGATAGCGACTCATATTTAATTTAAACGTCCCCCGATGGCCGCTAATTATTCGCTGTCACTGTGCGCAGTACAGTGCATCCGCAAGGCAGCTGAACAACTAAAAACAGACAGACTAACTGACTGACTGACGGACGGCTAACTGTCCAACTATAGTTGTCAACTCTTTGTGGCCCCGGCCCGCAAATGATGAAAAACTAATTTGAAAATTGTGCTTAGCTTTGTGGCTCCGCTCCAGATCCATAATGTCTGCCGCCGACCGCCATCTGTGGAGTTAAATCCTTTTCAATCTTGCCATAATCCAAATTGACACGTACATGTGCAGCAAACGGACGGAGACTCCTGTTCCTGCTCCGTCGATCCGGATCCGTAGTATCTCTATCTCTATCTGTAGCTGTATCTGCAGATGTATCTGTATCCGTAGCCTGTCTTGTTGACCAACCGCATTCTGTTCGAGCTGTTCGGTCGTATTTTTCATACTCGCATCCACTTTTTGACTGACACACGCCCGTTCGCCCCGGTCACTTCCAATTTGGCTTTTCTTTTTCGGGGGATTTCCGTTCGCAAGGCCGCAAACTTTGGCTGCACTTCGGATTTCGGCCACTGTCCACTCATCCGGTCATCGGGTTGGCCTGTTGGCCAGGACTCGACCCCATTTCCGCCGGAGGCCCGAAGTCGTTTCATGTTGTATTACACTAAGTGGACACAAATAGATTGCTGTTCGGCCTCCTTCTCCTGCGTTCGAGCGCCTGTCCGCAAGTTTGCTCAATAATCAATCAAACCTGGGACTCGAAAACCCAATTCGGGATCCCAGAAACGGTAGCCAATTAGGTACAACCCCACATGCAATGCCACACACTCGCCTTCGGTGGATCCAAGGATTCAAACGAATCGGAACACCATCCTCATTACATACAAAATTCGATCCGTTCGTTGGCCGCTGGCCACAAAGAAATAAACCCCAGATTGTCCAATTAAACGCAATTTATGCGGATTTCCAAGTAGCCCAGTTTCTGCTCTATATTGAGAGCTCACACTTAAAGAAAAAATAAATGTCCTATTTAATAGTCTAACACTTCCCTCTATTTGTATTCTAAAAGTGTGGATAAAGCTTATCACAACATTTGTATACTGGTAAAGTTAAAATATAATTGTGTGTAACCCTGCAACTATTTAACTACAGTTAGTGTTTAAAAATGTTATTTCTTTAAATATAAAATAAATTGGTATAATAACGTAATTTAGAAAATAAATGTGCAATACTATACACATACCAGTTTAATTTACCCATACATCTTCTGAGAACAGTAAATCTTATTTATTGGCATTCATTGACCAATTCCCTTCATGTCTTTGTTTCTCCCAGTGCATCGACATCCACAAGCCCGGCAACGGCAGTGGCAAATTAAAAAGGTGTCTCTGCTGAAGCTCAAATAAACAGCATTTGATCGGCGGCGTCTGCAACTTTGTTGGGGCGCCGTCTTTCAACTCCTTGGCCCGCAAATCGTTTACTTCCGCACAGGCGACCACCGACCACCGACCGTTGACCACCAGGCAACTCGTAGGAGTTGAGGTCCGATTCGGTTCGGGACCGACCTCTTCGCTAATGTGACAGCGGCAACACTTTAGAGGCGGAAGGTCCAAAGGAGATGGCCATAAGTATAGGGCTACCTGTCCAGCGGCGCCTGTTTGTTTTGCTTTCAACGCAAAAACACGTAATATATTTATAATGAACGGCCCAGGGATATTCGCCCGCTAATTGTTGTTAGTTTTTCGTGGGGCGAGCATATGGCTGATTTTTTATAGGTATCCCAGTCATTAGCACGTCGAAAGGTATCCGGTTAAGCCGCAGGTTCCTATCAAAATTGGTCTACACCATCGAACACCCTGCGCCTGTCAATAACCGACTATAAATCATTTTCAATGGATGGTTAGAACTAGTTAAGGGTTGGAATATTTCCGTTTAACAACGGAACTCAACCGAAAAGGAAAGGAGGTTCCCCTTACATCAGATTTTGTTTGTTTTGGGGGAGTTTTCAGTTAATTTACTTCTACTTTGTCATGGGGTCTATGGATTTCGTTGTAATATCTACAAAAAATTATTATTAAACGTATTTGTTTTGCCTAAATACATGAGCTATAACAAATGAAGGAAAAAGGAAAATAACAACAATTAGTTTATATTCTTTGATTTAATAATGTGTTTATTTTCATTGCTCTTCTTGTTTACTTTTAATAATCGTACATGTAGTTAGGGTTCATAATTTATAATACTAGATAATGCCATTCGACTTAAGCCTAGAGACAGATATTACAGTTACAATACATTACAATTCGTATATAATTTTGTGTATTAAATATGTTATTTCTAGGCGTGGCTTCCCAGCTCACGGCGACGTTTTGAGATGCGGATTGCTTCGGTTGAACTGTCGAACAATAATAGTCTAAATGCAGCACTACGAAACACAAACGGAAATTCGAATTCGAGATTCTGCCGAACTTAAAGCGCTGGTCCAGGTGCCTCTTCATCGTCGTCCTCATCCTCATTCCAGAATCGGTTAGGTAAGCGTCACTACAGAGTAAAGCTAGGTATTTACAGTGGGGCCTCGAGACACGCCCCCTCCTCGTATGTACAGTGCGCACTGTCGGATCCTCCCGAACTATGTACAAAGCGAAGTGTATCACAAATAAACCAGTTCCCGCCAAAACAGAGCGGGCGGCGATTAGCATCCCGCCGCGTGCGACGCCTCTGCCCACGGCTGCAGTCCGTGCAGCGCCGCCAGTGGCGCCCCGTTCACGCCCCCTGGGAGCCCAGTGGCGCCGAGGGGGGAGCGAAGCCCTTGCTGATCGCCTCCGCCTGCAGCGAGAGCATCAGCCTGTTCGCCGCCTGCCGCTCCGCCTCCCGCTCCTCGGCCGTCTGACGTCTGAAATTGGAGGAGAAAAGGATGTATCGGTCAGATTGGGTTTGCATGCTTATAGGTTACAGGTAAGCAGAAGAGGCAAGTCGATATATGGGTATAGGAGTATTTTTTCTTTAAGGCCAAATTTTGTTCTTTAATGTTAGTCCTATTCACAGAAAGGTTTTAAATTTTTCTTCACTACCATTTATAGTGCCTAAAATTAACCACCAACAGAACCCTTACCCTTGTAATAGAACCACGAAATTTTATAACATGAAAAAGAAAATTTCTGAGAACAAGGTTTGTCCTTTCGGAATTCAAAGAAGCATTGGACTTAGCATACCAAAACTATTCATTGGACAAGGTAAAAAAATTGTGATCAAATCTTGCCAAAAAAAGTGTCAATCGAAAAACGTTTGGTTTCAAAAATGCAAGATAAAACTATGTTTTACGCGTGCTAACTTTTTGGGAGTGCCAACTTTTTATTAAGCTACATAAATCTATTGGAGATTGACAGATAGTAAACACACGTATAGCCAATTAAGTTAAAGCTATAATTTAATTAATTAACGCCCATGTGGAAGACTGTGTCACCTCCAATGTCTACTCAATATAGTCAATAGTGTATTTTGGGACCTAAATCATTAAAGAGAAATTTCAAAAAATGATATAACCCCAACAAATAAGACTCTCCAATCGATAAGAATGACGACAGTGCTTAGGTAGCCTTATCTGGCAAATAGTATCGCTTAATGTACATATTCATTATTGAAAACCAATTTGCCGCAAGCCCATTTCAGTCGGTCACACTTTGGGCGGTCCAATTGGGCGGGTCGGAACAGGAGCTCATCAAGTCATTATGTGGGCGGCCTATTAAGACCATTTAAAACTAATCAAATCAAATATGCTGACTGCCGCACAGGCACTCGGGTCCGTCGATTGTGCTTGTTTTTGTGGAAAATTAATTTCGTGCCGAGTGGAGCTGCGTAAATTGCATTTTAAATGCCCTGCGCTTAAAGGGGATTTGGCCCACTCCCCAACTTTCGAATGCCTCGGCTCGCCCTGCCAGCTGATGAATAATTCAAGGGTAAATTGCACTGCAGATGCACCGAACCTGCCCCGCGTTTGCGCAGCATTTTGCTCTAATTGTGGCCATGGACCTGCACCACCACCACTGCCTCCAGAAGAGCCACCCCTCCACCACCGCTGCTCCATCCACCCCCGCAAGTCGAGGGTTGTTTGTGCGCCATCTTGAATGTTTCATGAGCTAATGAAGTTCTCATGTTGCCGACTAAAGAGACGGAGGGAAGGGTTGCTCGAATTGTAACCACAACTAGGCGAGATGGCACTCGCCAGACATATATCATAATTATTGTTTAATACGCTTTCAATACGGCTTTCATCAGCGTTGTCATCGTTCAAACTACGGTTTCATAACTCGCAAGTGAGTCTCATTAAAAATACATTAGCCCGGGTATTTAGTGCAAAGTTTTGGACCCACAAATTGGAGCAACTAGCACGTGACTTTGTGCCTGACTAGTGGTTAAACCGAGGCTGTTGTGTAGCACATATGAGCGATAATTCACTCAGCTCTTCGAAAACTTTAACACTTTAAATGCTTTTTAATATTTAACTAACAAACATTTAAGACTTAAATTTAAAATTCAAACATTTTAAAGGTAGTTTCTTTAAGCAAACATTTTACTGACAACTTTTCCTACACCTATTTCCCATTTGCTCCCATAACAATTCAATTGTCTGCTTTTGGCTGCAAGTGAGTTATTATTCGCCAAGCACTTCGCTTTTACTTTTTCACCTTTTCGCCTTGGAGTCGGCTTTATCGGGCAGCATTTTTAACAGCTACCGCATGAAAAATTCAACGAAAATTGATTAAAAACTCCAAAACGAGCGGGCAAACGAAAAGCAAACGCAAACGCAAACGAAAGTGGCTGGGTTTTGTATGCGGGTTTAATTCGCTCTTTGGGGCTGAGACACAGAGACACGATTGTAATTTATCTTCCGTCACGGAGCTGGGAAATGTAACAAACGCTTTACAAATGTTAAATGTTGGTCTCTTGGCGCCATCGCGTTGATGTGGAAAGTTTTTGTTGCCATCCCCGATAAGTAATGGCCCGGCATTAGCCTAAAATGTTTATTAAAGCTCGGCCCATAAATCTCCAACGGGGGGATTCCCTCTCTTGGCCAAGGCCCAAATTGTCGCCAACGGAGGCAGCTGCTGTTCAAGACCTTTCCGGCCATGTCCTGGTAATTAAAATCATTTCACACACTGCACGCAAACGATGTCGGCAAGTCGAGAGCGGAGAAGATAGTCGTCCCAAAAAGGTCCTGCGGTAATTATCCCCCAAGACATAACAATTTAGCCAGACCATCAATTGACTGCCCAGAATGCCCAGGGATCTTAGGCTTTTTTTGCTTTCGGGCCCCAAGGGAATGGGCCACCGCAAACTTGAAGACTCTTTTCGCAGGACACGTGCCGACGGGCGGAACAGGATTGCGAGTTAATTTACAAATGGCTCTCGCCATTGTAATTAATTTTATTTGATTTTTCGGCTCCCGCCGCAGAAACTTTGCTTTCAGTCAAATTGATTTTTGCTCTGCGGTCAAAGTTGTTCCTTGGCATGTGTGTGAATTTTTAATTAGCCAGCTTTCGGCAGGAAAACTTCTGGCTATGCTGGGCAATTAATATGAAGTAGTAGCGCCGCAAAAGATTTGCCAAGAAAATATATGTGTGAGTGGGGACTTCGGGATGATGAACGAGCGTGTAATTAAAAAGGGTTTAGCGGCAGCTTGATTTATGGCTGTAAACCTAATTGAATTACCTATTTTAAAAGAGGATAGAGAAAAAGGGAGCCAGACACAAGTCAGACTGGGCCATTTGTTTCGGAGCCACAGGACCCAACGCCCGGAAGAGAGCTACGATTTTTCTTTTCCCTGCTTTGTATCTCTGTATCTCCATCTGTTTCCCAGGGTTTTGTGTTTGTATCTCAGTTGGCAGATTGCTTCTTGCCGTCTCCCTGCCAAACACATTGTCTGAGTGACAGGCAACAAGAGTTCATTCATTTGGCCGCGCAATTTGTTATTAATTATTGATGCCATGTTGTTGCTGTTCTCGTTGACTCGAATCAGTCGATAGCACTCAATATACAGACAATGTTCGTAATGAGGCATTCGCCTTGTCGCAAACGAGTTGCTATTTATTAGGAATTACGAATTGGGCAAGAGCGAGATGCAACTACTATAAGCAATCTTTATTCGTCGACTAATGGGCACACAGTATACATATAGCGCATAGCACATACGCCACGTTGGACAGGGCTAATTATTCAAATTACCGGCGAATGCAGCGCAGTGTGCATTAAGGCAATTATGTGAGCACATTACACATACCCTGGATATTTACGAGTAGTGCCGCCTCGTAATCATGCCATAATGTGCCATTGCCATTTCACTTAACCGCAAACGAGCCGTGGCCAAGGCAGTGCCGTTGCCGTTAACAAAATTGCGTTTTACATCATTAATTTTTACGAGCTGGAATAGGCCCAAAATGGCTGATAAGCCGGGAGGACCGGGCTCTAAAACTGCCGCCGCCTGCTAAGCGGCAATTAACGCGGCTTAAGCGCCGCTCCTCCCGCCATTTCTGCTTTTCCCGCTCCCTTTTTGCTGGGAAAGTTGGAAACTTTTCCCATTTAGCCGCCATTTGCCGTCGACATTATGATTGCCGGTAATCGCATATGAACAGCAAGACTATCCGAACTCATCCGCTCAAATTACTTCACATTCAAATGGCTTTAGTTGGCAGTAATAAAATAGAAAACAATCAGCTGCACGCAATATCACGCATCAATGCCCCGCTAAATTAGACACATTTCTTGTCTGACTAATTTCAGATACAAATAAATTGTCATTTGCATGTTGAATGTGTGGGTACATACCATTTTTTAATAGGGCTATAAATCTGAATAACTATTGCCAACAGACAGCTGGGCTTGAAACAGGGTAAGTAAAGCGTGAGCTGAATCTTATTAATCGACAAAAACAACCTTACTTTAAACAACACAAATAGACTTAGTGACTCCTACTAAATAGGTTTCAAATTTTATGAATTAAAGAAATATTGGACCTCAGCTAGTGTACATCAGAAGTTAATAAATTGATTTATTGATTTACAGTCTGCAAGTGGACCAATTTGGCGCCAGGCTTAGAGTCCTCATAAACTTTTTATACGCCCATAAAAATGTTTAATAAGCTATGCACTTATAGAACATGTTGAATATAAATGGTTTCGTTTATCTTCTGCTTCAATTTAAGTTCCTAAAATTAATTTTAAGCGTGTATTTATATCTTTATGTAACTTTAATCCTTAACCCTTTACATGGCAATAACTCCGATTTTCTTGATTTTTTTTTTGTTTGGTAGATAAGTGAAAATAAAAAATACACTTCTTTTTAGTTTTTTAATTTTTTTTGGTTTTACCTTATTTTTTTTACAAAAAGGGGTGTGATGCATTTCTGCATCAAAAGGTCTTAAAAGGAAAATTTTTTTAATATGTGTTTTAGAAAGATAATAACATTCATTCAATATTAAAATATAGTAATTTATATTTTAAATATGTCAATTTAAATTAAATTTTTTAAAGCAATTATTTTTTTTTTTTAAACATAAAAAAATTACACATTTTTCGCACTCCGTTTGGGAGAATCCAGTGAAGTTCGTACAATTTGCAGTATTTTTTTATGTGTTAAGCTACTTTGATGCATATCTGCAACAAAGCGAAATTGTTGATTTATTCGTATTATAATGCAAGAAACACAAAAACTCGACAAGATATAGCTAAATATAATACTTACTTGTTTAAAAATATAAATTAAATCAACTACACATTTTTTTTTGTTATTTATATTTGGATGAGAAACTGCACAACCAATTCAGATTTCCACATTTACCAAATTGGCGAGAAAAGTAATCAGCTGTTGAGTATTGGACAGAATTCTGACTGACTAACACTTGTTATATAAAAAACGAAAGTTTCTGAACTGCATTAAAAAGATTTCAGACAGTTTTGCAATGCCCGTTGAAAAATAATTGAATTTGAACGGTATGATGCAGATATGCATCACCACCATGTAAAGGGTTAACTTAGTCGCGTATTGCAACTGTCATAAAAAACCTTGCCAATTAGCTTGTTTAACAAGAGCGCTCTTTGTGGCTACAAAATGCAACTACCCCCCAGTAAACCTCGTAAATACGCTCCCCCTTCCTTGGGGCCGAGTGCTGTTCATTTAATGTGCTCATGCATATTGCATGAGCCACTTGCACCCCGTTTATGCACGCCGGGCTTTGCTGCCCTTTCGTCTAGTTGGGTTATGCCAAAACAGGCATTACCTTCGTAACTCTGGTAATATCTTATGGGTGGGTCGTACTTGGAAGGAGTACTACGAATAACTAGATTGGGTGGAATAAATTCAAATAACAAGAATGATTTATCAGTTTAGATATTAATGTGGAACTCAAACTATAATTGTAATTAGCAACGTGTGGGGAAGCATTAGAACAAAAAGGCAATGTTATGAATAGAATATACCTTAATAAATAATTGAATAAATATATTAATATGTATGTTGTATATAAATCAAATTTGGTTTCCAGAAAGGTATAAAAGGTCTGAACTGCACTTAAAAAACTCTACAATGAATATTAAACAATCCCAATCTTCTGTTTTCAGAGCATTTCTACTTCGACTATGCATCTACCCTCCTGTTTTCGTTATTTTTAACAAAAGCCTTTTGTGCATATTGTAGTTTAAAACGGCACGTGAAGAGCGTAAAAAGCGGGGAGCATAGAAGAGGGTTAGTGTCAAGCTGTCAGCACTTCCAAACTCTGAAAAATGGTGGCTGCCGGTGGGGACGGGTATTGATTTTTTGCCTCTGGCCCAGCGGGGATGCGGTGCCCGTTGAGCTGGGGTAACTCGGTGGCGGTACTCACCTCCACTTGGTGCGTCGGTTCTGGAACCACGTCTTCACCTGGGCGTCGGTCATCTTGAGGCCGCGGGCCAAGGCCGCCCGTTCCGCGGAGGCGAGATACTTCTGCTTGTGGAAGCGCTTCTCCAGCTCGGCCACCTGGATGCGCGTGAAGGAGGTGCGTGGCTTTTTCCGCTTCGGCGGAGTGCGGTTCTGGTAGGGATGTCCGATCCGTCGGGCGATGGGAAAGGCGGCTGTAATGAGAGGAATGTGTGAGTACTTAATAAGACTCGTTTAGGAGCGGCTTAATCCCCTGCACCTGCAGTCGGAAAAGGAAAACATGTGATTATACCTATCATCTGTGGTTTTAATGTGCTGTCTTAGACCCCACTCGTATATTATACCAATCAATTAACTAAGACTTTTAAGAAAACTCTTGGGAACTATAGGAAATAACCAATCACACTTTGAATTGGCATCATATTTACATATTTATTGTGATTTCTAGTCCAATAAATAAGAAAAGACATTTGTTTGTACTTCTATACTTTTCGTTAATCTAAACTGATGCTTCTATAAACCACTTTATACTTTAGAAAAGAAGAACCTCTCAAATTTTAAGTGCTATTATTGCGATTGCATTTGTAGCCGCCGTCTTTCCCTTCGTGCGGTGAGTGTCCTGGCGGGCAATTAGCAAACAATAAATTCCTAGATAACTGGCCATTTCCGAACGGCGCTTCCGGAGTTGAGCGGCGGCACCTGTGCGCCTGCGAGTACTTAGCTCCGCCGGCTACTCGATACCTGTTAGCTGTTACCTGGCCGGCTAAACGGGCAAACAGTCGGGCCCCTCCCGCTGCGAAATCAATTTGGAGGCCGCTGACTCGCTGCCTAATTGCCAAGGATTGAGGTTTCGGTCGGCGGTCTAGCAGGAGCCCTTATCGCCGCCTCTTGTAGACAAAGCACGCGACATCCATTTCCACTTCCACTTCCACAACCATTTCCATTTCGATTCGGGCCGAGGTTGAGTCATAAAGTCGCGCCCGTAGGACGCACAAGTGACCCAGTGTCCGAGTGCGAGGTCTAAACACTGGATACTGGGCACTGGGACCTCTGGATTTGGGCGCGGAACGGTGGCTGAGCCTCCGCTGGCGCTGAACCTTTTAAAATTCCTGCCAGTCGCCGTTGTGTGTGCTTTGTTGTTTATTGGGTGCGATAAGGCGGGCACAGTGGGCAACAAAATATTGAGGCGCTCGCACCAGCCACAATTAGGAAACCGGCTCACAGATGGACTGACTTGGCGTCCGCGGATGAGGTCAAGTCGCCGAGCAGTCGAGCAATCGGGGAGAAATTGGTTGGCCGGCCGTCGCCGAAAGTCGCCGAAAGTGATGGCCAATCACCTTCATCAACGCCAAAAACGAAGCCTGACTCAAAGCCGAGACAGCGAAAATGATTGTTAAATTATTCAAGATATTAACACATTTTAAGCAATGATCAAATCAAAACCAAATTGATAATATTCCGCAAATTAAGCCAATTAATCAGCACCTTAATGTTATTCAGAAAAATATTTTTGCGTGTCTCTTGAGTTATTTGCGAAAACGACAAATGACAATTAATTAAATATTAAGTGAAAAATGTTATTAAGGCTTGATAATGGCAATGCCAACACTTTTAACACATTCTTTTAAGTCAAATTGTTTAATATCACCGACACTTGAGTTAAGTTTTAACAATTATAATTCATCAATAATTTAAAATATTACGTATTTGAATTTGTACTTTAGACTGTTTAGTTAGTCACAAAATTATATTTGAAACGTTGAATTCTGGTTATACTTTTTGCATCCCATCTAGCTAGAAAAATATAATTTCCAATTGAATGATTTTTAAGAATTATGGGTTGCAAGAACACACCCAACTCCTTAACTGGAGCGTAAATGTTCAATGATTTACATCTAAAAGTAGATTCTCCCCCAATCCCATTACCTTAGATAACTTTCTAAAGTATGAAACCCTTTCCGATGGGAGTATTACTCATCGATTTGATTCCGACCAACTCCCATCGAAATTGAGTTGTGTTTATGGGCCTTCGAGTTGGCGTAGGAAAATGGCGCTGGGCTGTCAAAAGCCATCGAAAGCCATCAAATGCCGGCGAATGTATGGTGGGTGTTAAGCTGACAAATCATGCTTCTTATTGCGACTTTTCTCGCGAACCCTTTTCGGGTTTGGGCTTTTTGGCGCAAAGGATAAACATTCGAGCGTGCTTGGCATAAATTTTAAAACGGCTTCTGGGGCAGAGGTCGTGTGGGTTACCGATCATTTGAATATTTCAGGCAATATCAATTTCAATAAAAAGCCATTTATCGCACAACATAAGTAGCATCCTCAGGATTTGCTGTATCCTTTAAGGATATAACACACAAGTTGGGTGGGCGGGTTAAGGCGCATAAGCATAATTTTATGGCTTTCCCGGCACTTCACTGCTCCACCTTGCTTGTTTATGGTGTTTTCGCACAGGCTCACATAGGTATCTCCAAGATACACACGACGGTGAGTGAGAGTGTGTGCTGCGGCCAAGAAGTCTCACCAGAAATACCTAAAATAATGCAAAAAGCTTTTAGCATGCATTATTAATGGCGGCCTGTGGCTCGGCCTCGTTTCCTCCCACTCCGCTGTTTAGTGGTTTTCAAGAAACTAAGGAACTGCTACACTTCGACCTTTGCTAGTGATTTGAAGAGGCAGTATAACCTCAAAATTATCCCTAATAGTTTTTAAAATATTAAGAATATAAAATAAAAATAAAAGAAAAAATGTGGTTATCTGTATTTAAACAAATAGCCCTTTTAAATCAGCAATACCTCAAATAAGATGATTTAAATATTGAAAATATTGGAATACAATAAGTGTGTTATAACTGTTGTAAATATAATTGTAATTCACTGTTTTGTTATTCATTTTCCTGTACTCTATTGATTCATCGCTGACATTCGTGTGGGCAAGTGTCGTGACAAAAGCCCAACTCCCATTCGGATTATTTGGCTGTTATGAAACTGCATTAGGGCTCCGCATGGCCGAAAAGTAATTGGCGCCTGCTGCGAGGTTGTTTTCCGAAAAATAACGAAAATTAACATGCAATGGTTATTAATCATATGGCGCTAAGAGCCCCAGCGGAAGGGAAGGGAGGGGAGGAGAGCACTTTCAGCGGCGGACAGGGAAGGGATCGGATCGTATCCGAACCCTGGACGCTCGTTTGTCTTGTTAATGAAAAAAGCCAAGGCGCCAGCTTATCAGCCACAAGGCAAGCGACACAATAAACACAACAAGACTCAGACGAAGTCGAAGACAACGACATCGACGACGAAGACGAAGATGTTGACAAAACGAAGGCAAGCGCCAGAAACGTGGATCACCCGGCGGCCTCATAATAAGTGTGCCTCTCAGGTGGACTAGCCGACTCCAACTGACTGATCCGATCCAAACCGATCCGATCCGATCGGATGTCCCCTCCTCCGCGGAAGCATATACATGAACATATATATGGATAGGCATCCCTCGGATCGCTGGCATTCGAGTGGCTAATTAAAAGCTGACCATGTCAGTTGGACTCAAATGTGAAGTGCGGTATGCGGCGATAAATAAGCCGGCGAGGACAGAAAACTCACTCGCTGAGCCCTGCGACCGCCCAATGCGTAATTAATTCCTTTTCGGGCCCAGCGCGAAATTAAAAAGTCATGTAAACCAGCTCATTAAAATAACTAAAAAAAGGAGGCAAGACCAGAACCACTGGGCGGATGTCGGCCATAAAAGCCATCAGATTGGCAGCCAGCGGTTGGCTCCTAAGCCGCTTTTCCACATGGCCGAAAAAGAGCCGAATATTATGAGTTATGGGACGGGGAGGCCGATCCGCAGGATCCGATCCGTCGGCTACCGAGGCGTAATAAAATCAACGCCGTCTCATTATTTCAAAGGCTCGCGCTGTGCCGTCGCTTGTAGCTACAAGTGAAGCTCATAATGTAAACAAATTAACGAAGGGAGCCAGCGCATCCAGATGCTCCGATCCAGGGGATACGCAGATACGGATGCGAGGACGCGAGATACGGATTCTGAGCCAGCGGCAGCAGATACAAATGCAGATACAAATGCAGATACAAACACAGCTGCGCATGCGTATGCAAATAAGAGGGCGCATCTCATTCCTGTGTCGCTTCTGGGCGGTGGCTCAGCGTTAAGTTTTTAACTTAAGCTGCGATTGCGCATTTGAAGGCAAACATGTTTTTATACTTTAGCATCCCGAGCACTCGTGTGTGCGTACACTGGGCGAACAATTTCAAACAAAACATCAACATTTGACAAATTTAAGAACCGAAATTAATTTTAAAAACATTGAGTACAAGCTCTCATGCACATTTTACTTGCAACCAATTTATAATATAAATAATTATACTTTAAATTGGGGTCAGTGGTAGAGCATAAAAATTAAGGTAAATAACTTAGTTTAGTACTTTGAGGTACAAAGAAAATACCTTCATAAGAACATGTTGGTATGTGTATAACCAACATTAATTCTAAACATTGTTTAAAGTGATATAAGAATCTTTAACCACCGAATACCATCTAATTGGTATTCAAACTAAGAGCATAATCCTATGTAAACCACCAACTAAATAAAGATAATTTGGAACCCCACATTTCGTACCTCCCCAGCTAACTTATACTGTAATTTTACCCCATATTTTTCTCTCTGTGCACGAGTGTGTTGGCCAACAATGACATGCCGATAGGCTTGTTGCCTTAAAAGACTTCTCTGATCGCGCTTATTCGTTATTCGGGGAACAGTAGCAATTGCCACCGCGGGTTGTTTTTGGGGCAGCGACAGCAAGGGATCTCGGCGAACATGGGCCACCTCAACAGGGGGGCCCACTCTCGGGCTCCCTAGCTCCTTGACTCCTTCGCTCCTTGACTCACCTGCCAGCCGATCCTTGACCGCCTGATGGGCCAACGCAGCGTGGTGCAGTGGCGGAAGGGCCCAGGTGATCGGCGATCGCTGGGGCGGCACTCGCAGCACATGACCGGCGGGATAGAGGTGCGGGTACGAGTAGAGGGCCGCTGCACTTCCGTACGTCGAGTTGGCGATGCTGGTGGCCAGCTTATAGGCGGCCAGGTCGTGGTCCTCCTGCTGCAGCAGCTCCTTCTCCTCGCCCTTCTCCCCACTGTTGTTGTTGTTGTTATTGTTGTTGTTGTTGCTGCTGGAGCCGGGACTGCTCAAGTTGTTGTTGTTATTGTGGTGATGATGGCTCGTCTCGAAGGGCTTGGATAGCAGGCGTGATATGCTGAAGGGCAGATTCTCGCTGGACGAGGAGCGCGTCTGCTCCGACTGCAGGGATTCACTAGAGGAAAAAAAGAACAACCAGAAGACGTCAGAATCGAAGGGAAGAATACTATACTGTACAGAGGTGCGGGCTCATTAAAATGTGTCGCCTGATAAGCGGAAAAGCCGAAGAGAACTCTGGCCATAATTAAGCTCGATGCAGCGTGGACCAGTCTGGAAACCACTAACCAAAAGCCCACGCGAGCGGATAAGCGGTGCCAACGACATGCAGAACCCTTGTGGCCACCACTGCGTATACGCAATGCGTCTGAAAATTAAGTAATTATGCAAATGCTGACGGCCGTTAGAGGCATTTAATACGCGCCCATAAATCATCAAATGCCATCAGCTGACGCACCAAAAACAAGTCACGCACGGCATTTAATTTATAAATCACAAAAAATAAAAAACAAAAATCCATTTGGTGGAACAGGAATGGAATTGTATCGGAACAATGACTTCAAATTGCCATACACACAGACGCACACACTTTCCAAAATCAAAAGTTACGAGCATACACATATTTTTTGGCCAAAAGTTGCGGCTATCTGGTGCTCTACATTCGTTGGAACGCGCGTTTTATAGCATTTTTACGACGATCTCTATTAAAATGTTAATCCGACAAACGATTTCGTCTTTGTCCGGCATTCAAACCGAAGATCGAGCTTCAGATCGAGACCCAAATGGACCCGAAAGTCTTATCACAGCGCGTTTTTGGCGCCTTACTAATGTGCGTTTTATCGTCGTCGTCCATTCGAAACCCTTTCCATCCCGTGCACTATGTAAATTCAGGGAGTTTCTTCGTGAGTTTATGAGACATTTCGGACTTGATTCTTTTGGTGGCATTGTGGTCAATTCATTAGCGTTTAAGAGGTTTGTTCACACCGTTCTTCAAAGCGGAGAACAGCATCAATGGGCGCAGTTAGCACGGCCTGCCCGACATTCTGGCAGCTTGTTAGCCGCTTTTGTCGGCTAAAAAAACACCTTTGTAAGGCTGAACAATGCGTCCACACATCAGCGCATTTTAATGGCGTTAAGCCGAAGAATATGATCCGAAAAATAGGATTTGTGAGCATTGTGAGTGAAAACCCCAAAGGCTATTAAACAGTGGGAGTTATGAACACATAATAACAAATGTAAATACGTTTTCCCTGCTTTGCTAACAGATCGAACTTTAATGGGAGAATAAAATGCGGCCCAAGTCTGATTCCAATAACTGTAGCCGTATATCGTTTGATAGTTTTCAGTTTGCAAGAATGTATTATGTTAAACTATCATTGTATTTAATATTTAATGTCACGAAACAACTATTCATAAATAGCAATCCAAAATTGTTTCCTGTATTAATGAAAATGATTAAATGTAATAATTTGTATACCAATTGATGTACTGAGCTGTTTACTTAAATGGGCGCAATCCATTAAAATTTTTTGGTTACTTTCCATAATAAATTGTTTTAGATAATTTTGTGTCTACTGGGTGTAGTTAGATGGTAAAATAACCGTATCTCTATTAAAATTAAGTAAAATTTGTTTGTTAAGTGTTTTTTTCGGTAAATAAAAAGGTATTGAGTGGAAAATTTTTACTTGTCTATGGTACTTTAAGTGATTCAGACTTTAAAAGTGTTTATATATTTTACAGTTTGCAAAAACGAACGTTTTTAATCATTTAAGCTAATATAAAATGCTAGGCCTTTCTTAAAGCCCTATATGCGCAAATGAGCACATATTGAAAACCAAATATTTATTTAAAAGGAGAAGTATTTCTGAAGAGTTTGTCTTTTCATAATTAAAATGTTCGCCTTATCCCTATATTTTCTGATAAATGATTCCCCTCTTAAAAGGCCTATACAAAATATTCCTCACTTTGTATTTCAAAAATTTCAACCTATTATAAAGTTCGGTTATTTTTATGTTCCAAATAAGCTTAAATGGCCTTTTTTTAAATATTTTCTATTCAATTCCCGCGATCCTCACCTCAATGGCGTTTCGGACTCATCGTAGCAGCTGCCGCCGTCCATATCCACATCGGATCCGCTGCCGCAAGACATCCGGGAGTCGGAGTCGACGTCCACGTGGATCTCCTGCTCCTCGACCTCGTCGCCGTGCTCGATCTCGTGCTCGTGGTCATCCTCCTCGTGGCTGGACATGCTGGCAACTAGTGGCGCCAATGTGGACTCCTTCACTGCACTTTGAGATCGTATTGTTCACTCTTTTAAATTGTTATTGATAGAGTGTTTTTGACACTGGACACACACAAAATGTTTAATTTCTGTTTGGGTTCCGCGTTTCAGCGTTTAAGCACCCGTTGAGGGAAATTCCGACTGCGAACTGCGAACTGTGAGCTGCGGATTATGGATTCACGGGTTCACGGATTACGGATGGCGTGGAGTGGAGTGCAAATTGCGAGCTGGGAGCGGACGCGTGCTGGCGGGCGAAAACGCTTTTCATAAATGCAATCAAATTGTGCCGACGGCCGCTGCTCTGCTCCGTCCTCTGCCGACAGTCGGTTTGTTGGTGGCTCTGGGCGGTTGGAGTGAGCCGGAAACAAGTCAAACCAGTTGTCCGGCAGCGGCGTCGACGGCTCTGCCGACTTCCTTCCTATTTCGGTTAAAGAGCCAGTTTGCCACCTTGTTTGAACCTAACCTACCATAATACCAGCAACCTGCCTCTTCTGGTTGGTCCACCCTCGAGTGCTCTGTCCCGCTCTGATCGCACATGCGCCTCGTTGCCTCTCGCTCGTGGAAACAGGTTTCGCTCTGCCCGTTTATGGGCAGCACTGGCGCGTAATTGAGGCCGGGGGCGTGGCCTCGGCCAACTGCCATTGGTTCGCGGACAGAGTTTCCCCCCTCCGTTCACTGCGATCCCCTTTTAGCTGGCATTCGCGACGACATTTTAAATGGAAAACGTTTTGCTTTTGGGGTTTTTTATTAGACGAGAGCATGAAGAGAATGTATTTTTATTTTGATTGTTTCTATTTTTGGGTTAGCCAAGCGTTTCCACTCTGCCATCCGCCATCTCACTCGCACTGTTGGGGAGTACCCTGGAAGTGCGAGCGAGACACCGGGAGAGGGAAAGAGAGCAACAACCGCCTGCCGACTCTTTCCCGGGGAAGTGCAAATGTGGCAGATTAATAGCACAATTGGAAATAGCGTTCTGTCAGCTTGAGTTCACAAAGCAGCGGAATTCGGAGCGGGAGGGGTGGCAACTCTGCACCACTTCCTAATGTCCCTGACTACTCACTGCTTACTCTACTCACTACTCTGCAAGGCAATGAGATCTTTATTAGCGCCAAGTGTTCTACGCGCTATCGCTTGGCATTTGGCAGGCGGCGATTGCGATAAGGAGACTGTGGCCCAAACCACACGAATCCAATCCATTTGCCGTGGAAATGCAAATGCAAATTGCCTCAAAGGCTGCGGATGCAGCGGCTCTGGCATTTTCCGCAAGTTCACCCCACGGGTTAATTGACAGTTTTCCTTGGGCACGAGCCATGTAACTGCTGCCCGGGATCTCAGGTGTTGTTTGAGCGAGTCTGGTATCCAAAAGCAGAAGCGAATGCCTGGGATGCGTGTGTGGGGCCAGAGGAGATTGCGCACTCCTTCTTCATTAGCCAAGATAATGTCTTGCTGCGGAATGTGCGGAAAGCTAACCCCTTTCGAAAGTCAATGATGAAAAGAGCTTACTATAAAAAAGAAGACTGGTAGGGTAATCCCTCAACTCAAAAATACCATATGTCCTTTTCGGATAGATCAGATGATTATTAGCATTTGATTTCTGGTGATTCCATTTAAGCACAAACAAGTAAAACATTTAACATATTTTCTTAAATTTTTGTGAGGTATTATTAGTTATTTTTTGGGCTATGAATTTATTAAATTACAAGAACCACATTCTGACACGCACTGTAGCGCTTGTAAAGTAATATATTCAAGGTTTTCACATGATCACGTGTTTTATATTTTTCCTAAGTTATTATTATTATTATTTCTAGCCTTCACTCAATCAAAGAAATTGTTGAATCAAAACTTTCTTTTAGAATGAACCGCAATTACAAACCGTTCACTTTGCATTGAAACTGAGTACAATCCTAGAAGTAACCGTTATAAATATTCATTTTTGCACTTAACTGGCAATGTTTCTGTGTCAGACACGAAAAAATCATGGCCAAAAATGAAGAAAGGCAATTACTGCATATTCAATTGCCCCCGCACACCGAAACACGTAACGAGCTTGCAGATACAAAGATACACAGATACACAAATACACGCACATCCCGGAGGAAAGGACTCTGGAAAAAGTCACGAAGCGAACTCCCATTTTTCCTCGTACCGCCTCGCAATGTCATTGTTGCTTTTTGTCTTGCTGCTGGTAGGCCTTGTAGTCGGCTAATTGGATTTCATTTGAGCAACAACAACGCAGAAACAATTGCCATAATAAAAACAACAAAAGCAGCAACAACAACAGCAACAGAAACAACAACAGCCTCCGCATCCATGGCAATTGTAATGCAATTTTAATGCAAAACGAGAGGCGGCCAACATTTTTATTGCATTTTTACTTTTATTTCACTTAATAGCAGGCAACAACAATAACTGCAGCGGCAGCAGCAGCAGCAGCGAGAAATTGGTGCTTGGTATGAATACGGAATGATGCCAAGACCACCACAACGCCTTCTTTCCGGTGGATGGGGATTGCAAAAGGAGGGGGAGAAGGCGAAGGAGGAGACACAGGAGGAGGAGGTGGTTCCGATTCCAAGATGAGAATGGAGATGCCGGTGGGCGGTGAGTGGTGAATGGTGGCCGGATGGCAGGGTGGTGGGAAATTAGTATGCAGCAGCGCACTGCAGTCGGATGGCAGGCACACAAGCAACAGCACGGAAAACAGCAACAACCAGAAGAAAACTTAGTTTAAGTGTATCTATACGTACACTGGAAGAAGAAATATTTGATTTTCCCTTAATAACTCCCATGTAAATCAAACATTCTTAAAAATAAGTAGCTTAGCTCTTCTTGTAATGGTCTGTTATTGCCTTTAATTGTAATTATTAGGTATGCTTCTTAACTTTTCTGTGTTAAAAGTTCAGCAAACTATTGGTTATAGTTAAAAAATGATACCCAATTTATATATAATTTTCTATTACTAATTTGCGTATTCTGTATTAAACAATGTTGACTTCTTCGAGGAAAAATATATACTTAAAACAATAATAGAGGTCTTATAATTTTAATTCATGCCAGAATTCATTTATTATAACTTCAGTGTATGCACTGTAACTGGTGCAGCCCAAGTTTGCCAGGACTTGCCACTTGACTTTATTGGCAACTTCATGGAATATTCAGCAGAAAAGTTTTGCGCAAGTGCCTCCGAATAATACCGCCCCAGGAGCTCCTCCTGCTCCTGCTCCTGTTCATGTGCCTTCAGCTCGAATTCCTGGCAGTGTTGCCAGCTTCATTTGGTATGCATTTTTATTTGGCTCATATACAAATGGCGGAGCATGACGCGACTTTAGTTCGCCGGCGGGGAAGGCGATCCAGATTGCTGTGACATTGGGACTTTCAGGGGGCGGCACGGGCAGACCAAGTGTCACTTAAAATGCCAATACTGATTATGGCCACCTCTGGCCCTCCCTCTCTGTCCTTAGCCAGCTGTCTCGCTCACTCACAGGATGGCGCAGCAAGGATTTTATGTGCGGTCAGGGCTTGGCTATTATTGGTGACAGTTTTACCTTTATGCGAATCCCTCTCAAATGCACACATGCCAGGGAATACTTGTGTGAGTGCCGAAAATATCCCCAAGTATATTCAGAGATAGGCAGCATCTGGTTGGGAATATCATACTATATAGGTAGGATATAAATGGTAAGTTTAAAACTATGTATTATTAAAATTATTATGACTTCATATACTAGAAAAAGGAAAATAGCAAACATTATCCCTGAAAACACATGTAGCTCATAGAAATTAAAGATTATTTTTTCTTGCTATAATATATTTCAGTGTTGAGAAATCCAAGCGACTGCACTTAGTGTACTACTTTTCCAACCTGACCTGAATGTGTATCTGAGTGGGAGGGGTTCATTTAAGTGATTTCCCTCAACACAAAAAGGGAAGGCTTCCCTTGGCAAAATCAAACTCAGGTTCCGTTCCTAGACCAAGGCCGTCGTGATTGTTTTTCGAAACTCGATTTGTCTGTCCACACTTGACTTCGATTAGGCCAGGCTGCCCAAAATGGCCCGGTTCGGCTCAATGCGTGTGTTTTTGTTTCAGCCAATTGGCCACACAATTTGCCAAGCGATAAATTAACGCATCAATAATTGATCAGGCTTGTGGCCAAGAGCGTGTGTTTGTAGTGTAGATATTTTAGCCACTTTCGGGGCGAACAGAGAAAAGAGAACGGCGAACCACGTATACGTTAATTTGGTTCAAACCAGCGCTTAAAATCAGCAGCTGTGATTTATTTTCCTAAGCTATTAAAGGTTTGTTGCAGAAGAGTTGAAAGCCAATTTTGCTTCAATAGGAACTAAATTATTTGTTAAAAAAATCTTTTATGTAATTTGAGTATAATATTTCTACTTTCCCAACTATACTTTTTCTAAGATTGCAATAATCAATACTCATATAAGTTTAAATTTAATTAGCAAAGTAAAAACTCTTGAAACTTTGTTCTTTGGAAATTGTACTAATCGATTGCTTGCTTTGTTTAGATTTCAGTTTAAGAGCTGAGTCCAATTAAAAAAGAAATTTAATTGAAAGCATCCATAACGTAAATTTGGCCGACGGAAACCATATGAGAGCCCCCAACAGTTCTTTAACCATAAGGGTGCTTCTAATTAATTTCGCACCCACTCCCATCGCCTCGATTGCCAAGAAGGAGCTACTGATTTTTATGCAGCTCACTCAGGCACTTATATACTCTAATGTAACCATATACAAATGCTTGGGCTCATGTTTGTTGCATGTATATGGGCATTTTTAATAAGTAACTGATTTTATTCACGCATTTCTCTCTGGCTCACAAAGGATTTCCTTCCCCATACACCCCACTGTTTTCCCCTTTTCACCCACACGCCTCTCGGCATTCTGGCCAATTTGGTGGTGCCATTTTAGCTGTTTTATAAATTAAATATGCCCGCGCACAATTCCAGGCGAGGATTTCGGGCCGCAAACGCAAATTTGGCACAATTTTCGGGGCCGGGTTAAATGGGTTTTCTGCGGGGAGCCTGTGGGTGATTGTGTGGGTTGGGGCATTGTGTTTTCGTTGGGGGCTCTGATTGCGATTGTCTGAATGGGCGACACACCGTTAAGCAGTTCATTTGTAGGCAATTTTCGTATGATTACGAACAATTTCCGCTCTGTTCGCCGGGAGTGTGTGCGATTAGCTTCCAAATTTATGGATCGTTCCCGCCCATTTTGCTGTGGGGGGAGTCATGATTTTTATTGTTTCAAGTGGCTTCTCGGGTGTGAGATTGAAACTGCGGCAGGGGATGTTTCTCCCAGGGGGTGTATGATATGTGGGTCATAAATTCGGTGAATGTGCGTATGGTTCTATAGCAAAAATTAATTAGCTAACAGCCCCAGCGTTAGAAATTAAATCTAAGATTCCCGTAGAGCCCCAAAAAAGAGTAATCGATTGGGTAATTTTCTGATCAACACTTAAATTTTTCAACGGAACAAATATTTGTTTTTACGACAACTCCGCTTTCATCTTAGTTTCCAAACTTATTATCCCATTTAACTAATTTATGTAACAGCTCTTTTAGCTTTATATTGAGGAAAATATTCAAGTTTTTACTATCATTTTGCCACATAAAAATAATTAAATAAGACACGCTCGTAAAAA